TACGGTTTTAATTAAATTAAACTGAGGTCGTTTTGCCGAAGCTTAGTACACCTATATAAGTGGTTTTAATTGTAAACCTAACCTATTCAAATCATTATTTCCCAAAATACATAATACATCCCCAAAAGATCTCCTCTCAAATATTTCTCTCTATAGAAACTAGAAGATGAAGAAGAAGAAGGAAGTTCAAGCTACGATCAAGGTGAAGGCTCAATTCCTCTATTGAAGCTTAGTATTAGGCTTTGTTGTTAAGGAATGATAGTTTTAATCCATGACATAGAAATCCGCCATTGTTAGGGTTTGATTCAAAAGTCCTGGGTTACTTTCAAACATGATTCTATTGACTGAATTATGTTATTCTAAGCATGAATCAGATGATTTCCTATGGTTTTTATGATGTATCCTCAAGAGCCCATGTAATTCCTATGTCTCTCAGTTGTGATCTTATGATGAGGGACTTTGTTGAAGAAAGAGGAATTTGATGAATTTATGAATGAAGTTATAGAATCACATGAATTTTAATGAAATCCATGTCTAATGCTTGAATTCTAGATGTGGTGATTGAAACTAGGCTTTGAACCTTGAAAGGGAAAAGTATGAGATTATGCTTGTTTTTATAAAATTTATGTAAATGCTTTAAGGACACTTCGAGAGTAAAGTCTCAATGATTATGATATTGTTGTTGTGTTGATTGAAAGGACATTCTCATAAACACAAGATTAACATGATGTGAAAGGTTTTCTCATATAATTAAGATTCTAAGGTTGTAAGGCTTTCTCAGCTAATTGAATCTAAGATTCACGTGTAGACATGGCTAGTGAAAGGTTTAGTCACACATGATCTGAAGAGCTATCCAAATGAATTAGGTTTGATTGGTAACATGACATGCCTTTCCATGGATGATAAAAATAAGTAAGAAAATACTATTATGTCAAAATTATACTTAGCACCGAGTTGATATTTAAAATAAGATGGTAGCTCTCCCGTTAGTAGATACTGGGATACTAGAAAAAGTCTCGTGAGATAGAAGCTCTCCCATCAGTAGAAGCCAGGTTTCTAGTAGCAATATCCTTATCTCATAAACTATGTTCCCATGTACGATGATTATCTAGGGGATGCACTTAAGCTAGAAGTTCATGGTTCTACCTTAGGCAAGTAAAACAACCATTTTTGGAATGGGAGACACCGGGTGATCATGCTATACCTCACATGGTCTTCATGTTGGTTAAGGCTAATTTTCCCACAACAAGATTAATGATGAACTAAGACATGCTTAAAGAAGTATCTCGTAAGTGTTCAAAGATTCTGAAGATGATGCTAGTTTGCATTGAATATGATGTTATGACTTATGTTTTCCAACTACCGCTATTGTGACGTTTAAACTTGGAAAATTGCATGATTTAAAAAAAAATGTCCCTTTTAGCATGTTTTAAATGTATCTATGAATAGTTAACATGCTTATTACATTTTTGTACTAACGCATACTCTTGCCTTCTGTTTTCCCAAACGTAGGGTCTGATAGTCAAGGTCGACAATTTTGTGGCTAGAGCTTGGATATTGTTGTTTCCTGAGCTTGGTGAGTCCTCATGGTTCGAGGACAAATTTCCATTGTTTAGTTCCTTTCATATATTACTTTCTTTGAACGTGATGTATGGGCTAGGCCCAATTTCATTTGATATTGTAATAGATGGCTATGATGAGACAAGTGTCTAGTCATCTGCTTTCTTTTATGATAATCTTTTTAGACTTGAAATATTGTTTACTCTTATTGTTCTATTTCTTATGTTATGAGGACTAAGTGGCTTGTATGGAGTCCTTTAGGGTTCTATATGCCATGTTACATATAGGGGGTACCCCTGGGTCGTGACACTCGAAAGAGACCAAAAGACAACTAACGGAGTAAATCAATCCCCAGTACATTTTGACACCTATATAGGAGCTACAATTAAGAGAAAGTCATATATATATTATATATACCGAGAACTGACCAATCCAAAATACAACATGAGGGTCACTATAAAAGAAGGACCGTAGTAAGTCTTTGAACGTATGGAGCTCACAAAAATCTGAGTCTATGACCTCAACGGAAGATCCAACACTCACTGAGGGTGACTCGAACAAGGAACTACATAATAAAGATGTAAAAATGTAATATGAGTTCCAAAACATGGGGTACCCTATAGAAATCATAGGCAAACCAAACTCAGAATGATCAATTATATAGAAGTAGCATGATGATACAAGCAAGACACTTGAAATCCTTAAATAACTTGGGTTAAGGGTTAAATATGCCCCTAAACTAATCGAAAAGGTCTAAATATACCCCCCCGTTTAATGTTTTGGCTCAATCATGCCCTCGCCATCCAACTTTTTATCTAAATATACCTTTATGGACGTTAGTTGACCTTCTGAAAATTCCAACTCATTTTACATTTTTTTAAATGCCAAGTGGAATTGCCACGTGGCATTTAATTAAAAGGGAAAGGGGTCGCTTATGGCTCTAAACTATCCGACCCACATTCAAAACACCTATCCAACCCATAAATCACCCCTCTTTTAATTAAACTATCCGACCCGACACGACCCAAAACCCATCCCTTTTAACCCATTATCAAAGCCCTAATGTATTCTTAACTTCTCCATTTTCATTGAAAGAAGCTTGTCGTGCTAGGGTTCTTAGAAGATTTACGAAGCTTGCGTCGCTAGGGTTCTTAGAAGATTTAAGAAGCTTGCAACGCTAGGATTCTTAGAAGATTTACAAGTTGAAGGTAAGTCTTCTATATTCAGTAAATTTATATTTGATTTTGTTACATTTTCTTGTTAAGTTAGGGTTATCTAAATAAAGTCGACCTAGTAAGGCATGTGTTGTATTTGATTTGTATCCACCAAAATCACTTGAAATGTATTGTTTAATGTTAAAGGATGTACTTTTATGCCTTTGTGAGCATTGTTTTGTTTCTCTTTTGGTGGTCTCGAGATGATGTTTGTCTTTTAGGTTAGTTTATTACATTTTTGTAGCTTTTAATGTGTTTGGTTTGATGTGGTCCCTATGATTTTACTGTTTATTTCATGTATTTTTGAAGGATGATTGACGAAGTTGAAATTGTGTTCAACTACGGTGGTAGTTGGGTTATTTCACCTCTATTGGTTTACACTAAGAAAATGGTGCACTCTTGGCTTAATGTTGACCCTGAATTATTGAGTCATAAAGATATATGTGATGAGTTTACTTCCAAGCTAGGGCTTTCTCGGGTTAAACAATTGTTAGTCATTGGGCTCTCTAGAAAGTATTATATAGTAGATGGGGATGATGGAATTAGGGCCATCCTTTGCCTTTTATGTGAGAAATTTAAAGTCATTAACTTCTTTTTTTGTGGAGGAGGGTAAGCTCACAGTCTATGCCCAAAATATTACACAATATTCTGAATCATGTTTTGTAGATGTTGAGGTTGGTACAGATTGTCAACATAGTGCTTGTTCTGATTATGAATGGGATCTTTCTGAGGGTAAGGAATGTGATTATGAGTGGATGGAGGCTAGTAGCAAGGAAAGGGGAAGAATACTAGGTAATAGGTTGGAAAACTTCAAGGAATTGCAAGTTGGTATGACATTTAAGGACATGAAAGATGGTAGACAGGTTATGAATTATTATGCATTAGCTAACAAAAGGGCTTTGACTATAATCAAAGGTGATACAAAGAGAACTAGGTATGGTTGCGATGTGGGATGTCCCTTTGGTGTTTGATTTCAAGAGATGGCAAAACTGAAGGGTTTAAGGTAAAGACTTTCATCAATATACACACATCTGAGGAGGCCCTTTTTAATTCTAGAGTTGATATAGTTGCTTTAACTTAGTACTTCAAGCACAAGCTTTAAAATAATCCCAACTATAAGGTAAAAGATATGAGAGGAGAGCTTGAAAATGACTTGAAATTGAATGTGTGTCAATACAAACTTAAAAGGGCTAGGAGGATGGCTCTTGAGAAGTTGGAGGATAGTTTTATAGATGACTACAGCAAGTTTGAGGCCTATGCACAAGATCTTAAGCAATCCAATCCCGGAAGTGATGTTTTGATAAATATCTCTAAGGATTCCCTAGCTGAAGGAAAAAGAAAATTTTTGAGGATGTACATGTGTTTTGATGCTCTTAAAAAAGGCTAGAAATCTTGTTTGAGGACATTCATTGGACTTGATGGTACATTCTTAAAAGGTATATGTAAGGGTATGATGTTGGTTCACTAGGACAAGATTCTATGAACAAGTTATATCCACTAGCATTAGGCAATAGTGGACAAAGAAACAAGCAGGAAATGGTGCTAGTTCATTGAGCTATTGAAGGGGTCGTTGGACCTTAAAGATGGTGCAAAAATCACATTCATTTCAGATATGCAAAAGGTATGATGTTGTTTTTAACTCAATTTTTACTATAGTTTTAATACACTTTGATTCTCAATTTTTACCTACTTTTTTTATACACATTCATTGTCAATGTTACTTACTGTTTTTAATACACATTCATTGTTACACACTTTCTAACAATTCCAAAAACATTTGTACTTACTATTTTTAACACACATTAATTCTCAAATTTTACTCACTATTTTTAACCATCAGATTCTCATAAATTTCATGTTCTCATTTGTTTTATTTCATTGTTACAAGGACTGATAGATGTTGTTCACAAACTGTTGCCTGAAGCTCAACATAGGTATTGTGTGAGATATATTGAGGGTAACTGGTGCAAAAGATGGAGGAGTGGTCAAATGAGGAAGCTTATGTGGTGGTATGCTTGGAGTTCCTATGATGAAGAGTTCAAGGACTAGTTGAATAAGTTGGGGAAATTATCAAAATATGGTGCAAGGGATTAGGTAGAGTATCCACCAAAAGCATGGTCTAAAGCTTATTTTGATACTCAATGTAAAAATATGATGATTGATAACAACTTCACTGAGTCATTCAATGCATGGATTCTTGAGGCTAGAGCAAAGCCAATAATCAAGATGTTAGAAGAAATAAGAGTACAAGTGATGAGATTGATAGGGAAAAATGAAAAAAAGTTGAGGACTTGGGTTACTGATTTGAATCCAGAATGCATGAAGTTGTACATTGACTACAGGGCCATAGCACATGGTTGTAAGGTGGAATTCAATAGAGATTGGGGATATGAAGTGTCTGATGGAGAAGATATATACACTGTCAATCCAGAGCAAAAAAAATGCACTTGCAAAATTTGGGATTTATCAGGTATTCCATGCCGTCATGCCATCAAAGCATTGACACAAAAAAAAGTAGATTCAATAACTGAAATGCATTGGTGGTATAGCAAGGAGGCTTACATGCTAACATATAAATACAAGATGCAGCCTGTAAGAGGTCAGAAGTTCTGGAAGGTTGATCCTTCAAGTGCAATGTTGCCTCCTGATGTTGTGAAACAATTGGGTAGACCTAAAATGAATAGGAATAGAGAACCAGATGAAGCAAGAAAAAGAAAAGGTGAATGGTCTCAGTCTAGAAAAGGCACTCAAATGACATGTAGCAACTGTGGTGAATCAAACCATAATGTGAGGTCCTGTTACAAGGTAAGCTACAATATTGCATGTTTTTCTATTTTTTTTTTATTGTAAGCTAATTAACCTAAATACAAAAAAAAAAAATATAGGAAAAGTGTACTGAAAATAATGCACATTCAAAGAATGGTAAAAGGCCAATGTCTAACGATAAACATGGTACTGATGTTGAGGCTGAAACTGAGGCTGCAACTCAAGAGTTCGAACCATATGATCCGGATGTTGAAGATGATGAAGACCCACCTCTAAGACCAATGGTGATTTGTGAATTAGAGTTAAGGGCTGAGAGGTTGAAGACAAGAGTTGTTCCAACTGGTGCTAGAAAAATTTAGTTTTATGGAGATCACACTAGTGCCTCAGTGCCAACTAATCTGCCTTATTCTCCGGTCAAAAGAACATGGTAGGGCAAAGAAGCTATCCTTGCTGGACATGTGCCGATGCAGGAAAAAAAGAAAAGAATCAAGATGACAGGGGTTAAGGGGAGAGAACAACCTGTTCTCGATGATGATTCGTTGTTATTTATTTTCTATGTTAATTTTTGTGTTAATGCTCATGGTTAACCACAGTGGTTGACAAACAATATTGCTGATTAGTACAATGTTTGGACTTATTTTTAGGTTGTGCGACTGCTATTTTGAAGTTTTGAAATTATGTGCTTGTGTGGTCCATGGAAGTGACTTTATGTTAGACAATTTTAAATTGTGCTGCATTTTGACTTTTGCAATGTTGCAGGCTTGCAATTTGTAGTGCTGCTGTTTATCCAGTTATTTAATATTTGCATTGAGAAGTTTCTCTAAGTGTTGTTGTGTTTAGTGTTGATTGTTGTGGTTGTTGGTGGTTGGCCTGTTGTCATAGGACTCCCAATGGGGAGAATCTCTTCAAAATCCAGACCAACTGGATGGCGGAAGTTGAAATTACTCTCAGTTGTTCAGTTGTACCACTCAAATTGCTGGACTTAACTCACGTTCTATCTCCTCCAGTGATAACAACAAGACCAGAGAGTGCAAATCCCATGTACACCGTACTGATACCAAATTTAGTTACAATTCTCAAGAAGTACAGGCCAATAAAGAAATTCATTATCTGTTCAAGGAGAAATACGAGTTCGAAACAAACTAAACACGGAGAGAATGAGCCTTCAATTAATCTTACAGTGCTGCAAATACCACCTCAGTGAAGGGCAATAAATCAATTCCTACATTTTCATACGTATCTTTTTAAAGCTCATGCCGGGAACATAGTAACAATCAAAAGCAAAACATAGTTCTCAAACAAAAGAAGTAAACAATAATACTTCAAAATCAGAGAACCAAGGGACTACTGTCTCTGGTGCTTCAACAAAATGTATATTCCCTTAAGCACCCTGGCATGTCATGTGGCCCAAGAAGCGTGGCATTAAGAAACATTCTCAAATGACATTTGAGCATAATCTGTCAGCATACATTTCAGCTTATTGTGATACACGTATCAACTAAACAAACAACAAGGATCATTATAAATGTATGTGTATGGGCAAAAGCTCACAAAATCAATAAATAGCGAAGTAATCTTTCATGTATGTGAACATGGAATTAATGCATTATCAACTGAAGACTTTCCAAGAAATATATGAAAAAATATCATATGATTATACTCATCTACAATCAACAAAAATTTGAACCAAAGTAAATATAATGTTTCTTTGATTATAACACGATAAAAAGTTAACTATGTTCCTTGTTGTCTATTAGCATAATAACGAGGTGCAGATGAAAGTAGTTGAGAAATTGATCACATCAAACTTAACAAATCATATAAACTAAAACGTCTACTTGAAATTGATCACATCAAAAGTCATGAACCACATCACACATGTTTAACGTTTTCTAAGCTAAGGTTTATAAAGTTAAATATTACAAAATGATAGAAATTCCTATTTCCCTTCCTATTTCATCACCCATAATGCTACAAAACAACACCACAACATAGCTAGCACAATCCACATTTTATAAACTTTTTTCTTAGACTTATCGACAACAATATCCTCACTCTTGGGAATAGTAATTTTGTCTAGACATTCACAATTTTCTTCAATTTCAGATGCCAAATACTTTTGACGATGAAGATTATTGTTTTCCTTCTTTAAAATGTGGATGAGATTTGCAACTCTAGAATGGAGTGGATAATCAACCCATTTCCAATAATCACATTTATAACCCTGCACAATTATGAACTTGAAATCAGTACTCACCAAAAATATGAAAATTAATGAAATTATATATTAAATTTACATTAGGCTTAGAGCACTTATTAAAGCGTCTTCCAGCATTAGTTGGAGTGAAAGCTGTGAAAATCCTCGTTGCAATACCGCATTGACATTTCACCGTTGAAAGACTTGAAACACTTGAGTCCTGACTAATTTATTAAAAAACTTGAATGGTGGAAGATGACTGGAGATGACTAGAACACTCTTTTATTCTCGTGCGAGCTTCTGAAAATGAAATTGATGGGGTAATAAGGGCTCTCAAGAAACCTAGCGTTGATGGCAATGAAGAAGAGCTATTTTCGATGGAAATGAAATCATGCTACTTTCAATGGAATAAGAGAAGTTAACAACAAATTAGGGCTTTGATGATGGGTTAAAAGGGATGGGTTTTAGGTTGGGTCGGATCAGATAGGTTATTTAAAAGAGGGGTGATTTATGGGTTGGATAGGTGTTTTAAAAGTGCGTCGGATAGTTTATGGGCATAAGCGACCCCTTTCCCTTTTAATCAAATGCCACATGGCAATTCCATTTGGCATTTGAAAAAATGTAAAATGAGTTAGAATTTCCAGCAGGCCAACGAACGTCCATAAAGGTATATTTAGACGAAAAGTTTGACGGCGAGGGCATGCTTGAGCTAAATTTTAAACGGGGGTATATTTAGATATTTTTCAAATAGTTTAGGGGCATATTTGATCCTTTACCCAAAAAACTAATATAAAATAGAGGACGGGTAGATAGAATTAATGATTCATCCAGAAGATACACATAAAAAACTCAATACATTCAAAGGCCAACTCACCGAATATTATAGTGTAACGTCAAGTAAGGAAAACCGTAACCCCAGAAGGAACATCAAGCCGCCTAAAATGACACCTCAAGCTTAACCAACGACAAATAACCCGACAGATGTATCCACAGGCCGCCCGAGATAGCACATTGAGCTTATTAATTAATAACCAATAAATATGTATCAATGAGCTACCATAAATTATACATCGAGCTCATCAAAGTAAAAGCAACTCAAAGGTGTAATAATCAAGTAAATTGGGGCATCATTTTAGCCGTATTTTTATCCATCTGGTGATCTTTTTCCAATTGTTCTTTGCTCATACCCAAATGCAAAGGAGACACCTGTTCTTTTATGGTTTACCATGCACGGTTAATCTTTTCATGTCGCCAAGTAACATAACTGCAATGTGATATGGTTGCCTTATTAGCCAACCTTGAACAACTTTGTTGGCTAGGGATATTATAACGGAGTTCAAACTATAGTAGAATTATTGCAACATTCAGTTAGCTGGAACACCATGTGTTGGGTATTGCAATAGTAGCTTCCGAAATTGCAGCCATAATTCATGAAGATGTCCCTTCGGCACCCTTTCAAAATTTTGGATGCTACTTCTAAACTTTATCATCTTCGAGGGATTGAAAAATATGTCTAGAAATGCATCTATCAGCTTATCCCATGAGGTGATTAAATCATTAGGAAATTTGGAAAGGCATCTACTCACTTCTCCCATTAGAGAGAATGGAAATAATCTCAGTTGAACGATCTCTGGTGAGATGTTTTTGAAGTATAATGTCCTAAAAAAATTCACAAAATTTCTAAGGTTCTTGTGGGGATCTTCATGAGCAAGTCCCCCAAGTATTCCTTGCATTTGGAACAATTGTAACATTGTTTCGGTCACAAGAAAGATTGCCTACCCTAGTTTAGGAGGTAACCGGATAACTCTCGTGGTTTGGATGACATTCATGTGCATATCATTCAAGTAACCCATATTATCGTTTTCCCTTATAACTCTTTCCACATAGCTGAAGGTGCATATGTTTCCCTAGATTTCTTCCAAGCTTCATACCACAATATACCCACACCCTTAAATATATATGTTGCTAGCTCAAGTGCTTCTTTTCCCCTTTCATGCATAACATTCAAAATGCATTGGATTTGATCTATAAAGGCTTGTGGATCTTAATTAGGATCTGACTTGGTGCATGATGAAGGGTCAAAATTAAGAGAATCATGTTTTTGCATGCTAGTTGCTCTATCTATACAACTAGTACCTGCAACTGGATTTCATGCCTTTGGTCGTGGCCGGCAACAATACAAGTCAATAATTGGACTGAATTCTTTGGCTCGGTAGCACTAATAGGGGGTTCTTGAGGGGCAACTTCCCTCCTTAGATCTTTTGGAGATTGAGGGGTCGGGGAAGTCTGTGATAAATACTCATCTTTAGCATCACTTTAAACAACTTGACTAAGTGGCGGTTGGCTGGTCCTTTCTTGGGCAGCCACATCTACTCACTTACATGTACTTTTACACCTTCTCGTAACCTGCATCTTTTCTATAAAAAACAAATTTAGAAGTTAGATATGATTCACCTACAACATTGGTTCTATTGCACGATCTAAGAAATGAAAGAAAACAGATAACTCCTACATGTCCCGTAGCCTCCTATTTATAAATTTGGTGCACAACACATCCATAAGAGATACTCTACAAAGACACGTCCTTGTAGACTCCCTATGATGACCTAATCTAATACCACTTTTGTCATGCTTCAGTTCCCATTATGACAGACAGGCACCCGATGCCCTAAAGGCACAAGAGAACCAACATGTAACATGTGCTTACTATGAATATAACTTTGAAAATCTTAAAGTTGCTACATGTTCACATAGGACGTAGCAGTACAAACCACCATTAGACCAGACTTGGCCATTAAGGCCACAACTGTTTATGAGATACTCCATTTGTCCCTAATTACATGTCCAGTTTTCCTTTTATAGTTGTCCCTAATTACTTGTCCATTTTGATAAATCAAGAAAGAACATTTTTTTTACCTATTATACCTTTAATTAAATGATTAATTACTTTGAAAAATGTAGAACTTTTCATCCATTTCATAATTAATAGGGTAAAATAGTAAACTCATTGTATCGTTAATTGATTTCTTAATAGGTGTGTCAATTCAAAAATGGACAAGTAATTAGGGACAAAGGGAGTAAGATGCAACTAAATCTATATACATTAGTCTACAAAGCCTCTAAGAGATAGAAAACCTTAGTTTAGGGTAGGAAAAGGCCCTG